CATGTTCACGCCAGGTTGAAGCCACACGATAAGCTCATCAATGTATTTGCGTGATGAACTGGTTCTAAATTGAATCTCTTGAGAATTCCTTGTAATTATTGTTGCACACGATCCAGCTCAAGGGCTAATATTCACACACACATTTCACACACACACACACCTACAATATGTAGCAGCTCAGGCAACCCGGACCACACCTCATCCTCTTCTCATCATTACCAAGGACTTGAAAAGTGAAGCCAAATCTGTTCATCTCGCTTCCTGAGTTGAGGGCCCAAAAACAAAACAAGTCTCAAACTTGTCATTTACTACTCCTCAGTTGACGGCCCAAACAAGTAGCCAAACTATATAATCACCACTCAACTGGTCCAACCTTCCCAAAAAGTGAGTTTCAAGCCATGAGCTCAGGAAGTGAGACATGAAACGTGGGGAAAACCGCACGTCGGTCCGGGGCCCAGGCGGAGACGGCTTGCTGCCATGCCGCCGACCTGCCAAAGACGTCGACGCGTCCATAGTCTTTGTTGGCTCAAAAGGGAAGCCCTCTCCACAAAGGACAGAAGGGCTTTGCCCGCGGGTGAGAAGGGGCCTTGTCAAAACGGCGTGCCACGAGCCGAACCTTCGAACCTTTGAGTTTCCAGGGGACAGCTTCAGACACTTGAATCGGTGCTGGTGAGCGGGACAGCACGCAACGGATTGACGTCGCCATGTGTTGGACTGGGAGCCAGGGACTCAGAAAAGTTCCAAATTTCTGAGCCCGATGCGTGCGGAGGGCGAAGGGGCTCCAACTGGTGGCGTCTGCCACACCTTTTGCAATACCAACAAGTGATCTGGGCTTTTCGTCTTTGGTCTTCTTAACTGGGGGCAAAAGCAATGGTATAATCAACTTTGATTCGAACATTCCAAGGTATTTGGCAGCTCTGGAGAAAGAATTGCATTTGGCCAATGGAGCAGGACTGCGCAAAAAGCCCTGCTTGAGGTCTGTAATACACACTCGTGGCGTGCTAGTTAGGCTTTGTAATGTGTATATGTATATGTACATATATCCATTTTCTGTATATATTATAAATTGTGAGATTCAAGCCCTTGAAACATGTGGTCAGTGGCTTTAGGATTGAATCATAGACTGCAACTCATTTTGACCGAACCTCAAATCTCGTAGAGTCAAACGTTGCCGGCTGCACCGCGAGAAGGCTGTGCACTGGGATTGAAGCCTGGAAGGCCGGCAATCGGCATTCTGAAGGGAACCAAACAGAAAACAACCTAGTTTTGCACACACCAGTTGCTTGTTCCCTGAAAAGCCAACAAATCCGACGCTCGCTGAACAGGATTCCTCAAAAGGTGCTGTCGCTTCCCAACTCCATCGAGGCGTCTTGTTTTGACGGTACTCCTTCGGGCAAATTACTCCTCGGAAGATCAGGCAATTCCCCCAAGTATGGAACTCGAGTTTTTGCCGGTTTAGTCGCCGTGATGTGTGGGCCGTGTCAAAACCTTGTTCAAGATCTGTTTGACAAACGGAGTCCTCCATTTTCTTAAGTCCCCGTTGAAATGATAGACTCCCGTTGAAATGAACAGTGGAAACTAAATCATATTGCCCGCTATGCGACTCAGCACAAGCAGTTCCCTGGTATGTTGGTGAGTGTGCACCCCCGCCCCCATCCCCTTTCGTACAGCCTTTTTCCATGGGCTACTGCTCAAGGGGCGATGAATACCGGAGAAATGAGGGTGTACTAAAGTTGTACCCCCAAATGGACGCGCTCCACCACTTCACAGCTATGTATAGTTGCATCGTTTTGGAGCCTGAATCAGCACAAAGGCAACCGGGTTAATCTTCCGGCACTCTTTTGACTCTTCCTAAACTGTTTCCAACAATCGTTGGGCCTTTTGGGCTTCCTTGTAGTTCCCTTTTAGGTTTCCTTGTGGCTTTCTAAAAAAACATTGGGGTGCGTATTTAGGACACTCCATTCCCCCTTGTCTGGCACCCCGTCCACTGAACATTGTGTGGAACCACTGGACCCGGTTGTCTCATGTCATACTCTCAGCCCAACTGGTTTGATCAGGTTGGGCCCCGTTCCCTCGTATCGAGGAAACACCGGGGGCGATATCATCGAGATGTAGATCTGTGCACAAACCCTTCTAAACCGCCAAATACTGGGTCCATGAACTGACTCTCAACACCTTTGGTAAACGACCCGCAAAAAAATGTTCACTTTGAGAACGGCATATGTTCACTGCGAAGCCCGCAACTGAAGAGGGCGAAGGAGCTCGGCAAAAAAACTTCTGGGTGCTTCATAAGAGGGGTAAACCATTAGCAATCAGTTGGCCTTTTTTTTTCCCTTGCTCGCTGCAAAAAGGGAATGACTGCTCCATCCCAGACTTTGCGAAGGGCCCGTCGATTTGTTGGGGAGAAGGGAGGATGCGGGGGAAGCGGGGATGTCCGAGGATTCCCTGCAAAGGAAACCACGTCTAAAACTTACCCAACAAAAACATGCCCACATCCCCTGCTTCTCCCGCACCCCTGCTTGTTTCTTTGTCTCAAGAATGAGCTCGTCTTAAAAGGAGAAGCCCGTGGGTCAGACTTAGAGCCCCCCCAAAAAAAAGAGTTCTTGTTTTTGGTGGAACTCGTCTTGTTTGTATAGACTTACTTGGCAAAATCCCTTGTCTTGTTTTGGCTCCTCTGGTTTCCTCGACTTTCCCCCTGAATTTTTCCCGATTCGGACACCCAGACTCTTCAAAAACCTCCGGGGTTGAGAGCACATCTTGAGAAGTCGGGCCCCCAACAATTTTTGTCACGTAGCACGTCCGCCCCCCAAAGAAAAAAAATGGGTGTCAAAACCAAATGGCCACGTGTTTTTTGTTGTCGGGTTGTTCCTTTTTGTCAGATACCCCAAATGTCTGCAGTTGATCCAAGCTGCTCTTTGTGGCTCGCGCTGGCCATGGCTCACATGACTCATATGGAGAGATCTGGTGAAGGGCCAAGAAAGTGCCATGACTCCAAAGGCCCAAACGGGCGGAGGTGTGAACAAACTGCCCTGGAGCTTGGCTCCCCACATTGCACCATATTTTCCTCTTCTTCTTTTTCCGGACAATGCTTCATGGCTTCATATTTACTGTAGTCTACTCTAATGTATGAAATCATTTGGAGACCCCAGTACACCCGTTTGGATACTGTCTTGCAAAATGACGTGGAACCCCGAAAATATCATCTGTCTTAGAGGAATTCTTCTGTAGAGTACTGTTTTGTGGGGGTCCATGATAATTTGTTTGGGGTATGCACAAAATCACTTGGAGATCAGTGCCAGGTTCAGGAGTGTCCATTGTTCCAAGACCCCCATTGAGGTGATTCCGAGGCGTTGGGCATTGGAAAGCAGGCACAGTTGCTTCCGCGAAGGGCTCCTTATGCCTTACTTATATGCCAGCAACCATCACCCCAAAGAGGTCGGCCGAACAAATGATGCTCAAACCACCCAAATTACCCCAGAAAGGGACATATATCAGAACGTAAGCAGCTGAGCAAGAGAAAACGCTAAGGTGGTATTGGTTTAGAATTTGCCTATACTTATTATAGGCAATGATAAACTTTGGCAAACCGTCTGTTATTCTTAGCAGGATCACTAGGTGAGTTGCAAACAACTGTCAAACAATGTCTGGCTCATTAAAAGCCTTGTGGTTGCTTTCACGCACCTTGTCCTTGGCTTATCTGAGCCAGGAAAGACTCACTGCATGGGCGCCGCTTGGCTGATTTGTGGCTGATGTCTCCCGAGCTTGTTCCTGAGTCAGAATCCAAACCTGGTATTAGTGTCTACCCACACACACACACACACACACATCTAAGTGAATTATACTAATCCACCAACCCCCCCGTGGTTTGCGGGTAGTAAAAACACACAACACACATCTTTCAGCATGTAGGCATATCTTCTTGACCGCTAGAACCCTCCAACATACCCCTTGAGCATACCGCAACCCTCCCATGATCAAGATTCCTTTCGTGCATGGTCTGGGATAGGGTTAACTCCTAAGGGAATCTGCGACGTACTACGAATGCAGATGCGAAATTATGTTGAGAATCTTAGTCCTAGTGGATCAATTGGGGAAACTTCCAAAATTGCAATGACTCCCCTCTTTAAACGGAATCGCAAAAGCAAAAACAGCATCACACACAACAAACAACAACCACAGGTTTCTTCAAGATTGTTTTGCCTTCCAGTGGTATTCAATGTGAGCATGGCGCACAAAAAGGAGCGCATTGCGACCCAAGGCAACACTTACCTAATCACAAGGTTAGCTCTTGACATCCACAATTTGCAACCTGTAAGTCATCCCTAGCGTCCCTTGACATGAGAGATCTTGGACTTGGCTGCGACAAGAACGGCCCCTTCCAAATGGTTTGGTGCTTGGCTGCCCTTTCCAAACCCCAAGGCCCAAGGCTTTGGGCGACTCCCCCACATACAGTTCCAACACCACACACACAACTACAGTACCGTGGTGACCCATGGGTGTGTCTCGCAATTAAGGATGTCAACATGAGATCCTGCGAGAGTTTGAACTAAGGTGAACACCTCGAAAATGCATGTCTCCATCATATCCTTGGCCACTCATTTTGAGCAAAACCACAACATGGACCTTCAAGCTACCCGCACGAGATATTGTACAAATGCGGCGGTAGCTTGCTGGCACTTGGTGACTCCTAAATGTTCTTTGTTACAAGCTGCCATACCCCAACTCCGGCCTCTCCAACACACCCTATGTCTCCACCTCACCCCAACTCCAGCCCATTCACCAACAACTCAACCCCAATTCCACCCCCAACCCATTCATCTGCACATTCTACTATAATTCCAGAAGCTGATTTATGGGATCGCCCAAGTGAAGGACCCTCATCACAATATGCTCTTTATACCCCCGAATCGGTGAGCTCGCGTAAAACAGGCAGATTTATTGCAACCCGGTCAACGGGACCTCCATTTCAGTTGCCCACCCAAAGCGCCGGTCCCCCGGTCCGTCTCTGCCGCAATCTCCGTGCGAATCTCTTCGAAGTTGAAGAAGCGATGCCCCGGCCTTTGAAAGGAGAGACAGAAGGGCTGCGTTTCCCAGCAAGTCAGCTTTGGACTGGCGGCTTGGTGGTGTTTTGGGGTGGTTTCACATTTGCCCTCCAGAGCCCAAAGGACCCAGAACTAAAAGGCTAACCCTGTGGCACCTCTACTAAAAATGGACCAAAATGGGGAAGCCAAAAGGTCAAAAGCAACTGAGGATTACAGGGTACCCTCAAAACCCAAACTGGCCAAAACCCATGTTCTGTCCTTTGGGTTCCGAAGCACAGGTCCGAAGTCTCAATTCTGACCTTGATCATCTTTTGGGTCCTTGACAAAGAGCCAAACAGCAGGACCAAAATAACAAGTGGATTTGCAAATGGCAGGTGGCCCATGGACACTAGGCAACAGGAAACCAAGGGCAAACTTTCAATGTTCCTATATTGCTCTTTTGAATGCCCAAGGAAAAAAGAAGCCGACCTATCTGCACAAGTTGTACCAACTCCCTAAATCAGGGAATCCTGAGAATACGAATCATCCAGCCAAAAAGGAAGCTCACTTGTTCATTTTCTCACAGGCAAGGTTTGTTGCCAGAGGGGACATATATGGGTTGGCCGTGGAAAGCAATATGGAACAGAAAAGTTGGAAGTCTGACAATACCGCAGTTGACTGTTGCACTCTTCAGGAATCAGTTGCAAGCTTCGTTGGGCCGATTGACCAAAATGGGCCGACTTGCTTTCTGAGGATTTCATCCCACAGGCCCTGAGTCCTCGCGCTTGTGCCCGAACTCGCCCCACTCCGCGCTATCAGTCCTCGCGCGCGAATCCGCGTTGAACACCCTTTAGCTCTCCGCAAAGTCCCCGAAGAAACCTCGAAAAGCACTGACCCAAGTGGCACTCCGCAAAAATACATTGGAGCTTCCAACTGTTCTAAAAAGCCCGCGAGGGGGGGAAGTGGGGGGGAGGGGGCAAATGGGACTTCCGAGAAGGAACCTCGAATAGGGGTCCTCCAAAGGTTCGCATCCATCCCGACGTCCAAAGTTTGGCCCAATGAACATATGCCCCGCGTGTAAGCCATATAGATAGTGATAGAAGGGAATGGTGATCGGGGTGCCCTGGAATCCTAAACCAACCCGTTGTGAAATTAATGTACGACCACAGCTTTTGGTAATCTGGGGACGTGTCCCAACCAGTTTGTTCCCGTCCAAATCAGGGGGTGCGCTTCTTCAGAAGCGTTCAAGGGTATATGTTTGGCTCTTGAGCAACCCGCGAAACAAACCCCACATAAGGGTAGACCATGTGGTCCCTAGGTAAATCAGCAAGCAAATTTATCCATGTTGCAACCAGGGTATCCCTCGTCCAATCCGAAGAGGCCGCTGGCCTTTACCTGTTGGGTTAGAAATGCATAATTTGCTCTTGGCTCACTATTGGGCTGGTCTTTGACCCTCTGCAAAACATGAAATTTTCTGCTGGGGGCATACTTTCTCAAAGAAAAGGTCTTTCCACTGGAAGCAAAGTCCGAAAGGACTTGCACTTTGACCAAAAATGGGTCCGTGTTTTTTGCGGGTACCACTTTTTGGTTGGTTTTGAAGGGGAGAACCACAAGGAAACCCATCATTTTTGAAACGTGGGCCCCCGAAAAAAGGGACACACCCAAATGGACCAAGTTGAAGAATCCGATTCGCTGGCAACTGCGTCTCTCCAAAATGCCTAGGCCTCAAGAGGGCTTCGTCAATGTACCTTGAGGCCCCGCACCCATGGATCAGCTGGAGGATCAGCGGCCTGCTTTGGAGGCTCATTCCCCAGATGGCTTTTGAAGCTATAGGGGTTCTACCTGCAAATAAACAGGGGAAAGTGAGTTGCGAGATTGACGGCAGGGTGCTTGGGGGCATGCAGTTGCTGGTGCAGGTGCTGGTGCAGGTGCTGGTGCAGGTGCTGGGTGCAGGTGCTGGTAGGCGCTGGTGACAGTGCCGCGCATTGACGGCCGGGTGCTAGAAGGGCATGCAGTTTGGGGTGCTGGTGCAGGTGCTGCTTTGGGATGCTGTTTGGGCACTTGGTCAATCCACTGTAAACCTGGGATGTACTTTTTTCTTGGCTTTCATCGGTTTACTAAAGCCAAAAGGCGCCCAGGATGTGTTGCCAAGCGGGGTGGTTCCGAGCGCCGTCAGGCGGATAGCAACCCTAAAGCCGCCACCAGCTCTAAACCAATCAGAACCCGCCTAAGGCCACCCCAAACCCCACCCTAAACCCGACCTAAAAAGGACAGTTAAACAACCCTAAACCAATCCAAAACCAACCCCAAACCCAACCTCACCCACTCTAAACCCACCCACCCAAAAACGCACACAACCTGAACCACGCCTAAACTCACCATACTGACCCTTGTTGACTGTCCGGCCAGCCTGACCGGCCGGCCACTGGCTGGACACGCCGCAATTGTTTCTCTCAATTTCAGCCATCAATCATCCCGCAGCATACGTCTTCGCTTCAACCCTGGGTGGGCCCAACCCCCAAAAACCTCCAAACCCTGGGTGGGTTCAACCCTCAAAACCTCTTGATGAAATCTACCCCCTCGGACCAGAGCCATTTTGGGTCTGCCTGTCGCTCCCATCACGGCCTTCCTTTCGGGGGGCTCCCGAAAACCTCCCCGCGGCTCGGCTCGGCTCGGGCCTGCGTGTGACCACCCCGGTGCCGGTGGGCAGGAAGGAACGACCTAGCGCATACTTGGAACCTCCGCATTGACATGTTTTCGTATTCCCGCTGAATGGCTTTGACACCTAGTTGGAAGCACAAAGGTCCAACAAGCAGTCCCCCGAAAGGCGATTCTTCTGAAGGCGATGGTTGTCTGCATTCCATGTTGATCAGAGTGCTAAAAGAGTGCAATAAGAATTGGTGCAACCCACAGTTGGCCCATCCAAAGTGTTCTCCACCTGAACCTTTGGGAGCAATATGGGTGTGGCTCAAATTTATCCAGGAGGGGCAAACCGCAGGTTTTGGTCCATGTTTCCACTTCTCAGGGTAACCCATGTTGGATTTCCGGTTTTTTGGTTGCCACTGCCATATCTCCCCTAAGGGTTGAAGTGGCTCACTCTGGCTCACCCGTCGCGCCGGCTCGGGGTCCTGGGGACCCCGAGCCCACCACCGCCTCGAGCAAAGAAGACCTGAGTCGAGTCGTCTCCGGGGTGAAATCGGTCCATAGGCGGGCGGCGCGCAAAAAACGCCGCGAAAAAGCAAAACCTGGGTTAAGGTGGTCTACCCAGGACCAAGAGAATCGAACGGCCGGAGATCCACGCCTATTTCAGGTTGGGATAGTCCCTAACCGTCACTTGGCCGGGTCTTGATTGTGGCTCATGTGTCTGAAAAGAATGGGATGCTGCCTCAGTTCTGGGGTGATTGTCCCAATGTTTGAGGTTAGATTGTCACATCCAATGAAGTCATGATCAGAGAAGCAGCATGTGAGCAATTTCGTCCCCATGTTTGCTTTGTGGAAATGGATCCACAGGTGGACATCAGAATACATGGCATTTAAGTCCGCACATTCACGCATTCAAAATCATAGCCATGGGTCGACGGTTCCAAGTTGACTTGGGTTTGGTGGAGTTGGCAACCTGGACATCCAGTTTTCCAGGATAGTTTCAGAATCCATGTACCCTTCTGGGTTGGTTAAGGAACACCAAATGGTACTTGGATCTGGGAAAATCGGAAACAAAAGCCAACTCAGGACGAGCTTCCTGGTCTCCAGAGCGATAGTTGAACGACCCGAGTGCTTAGCCTTTCCTTGGTTTCTAGAACCATCATCCCAGTGGATTTAAGCTCCAGGCGCAGTCGAAGGCCGTTTTTATCTTCTGGACCTTTTTGAACAACCACCTTGCAATGGATAAATCCTGTGGTTGAAACACCTAGCAAAGGCTGAGCTTTGAAGCAGCACCCCTTTGAACACCAATGGAACTATAAGAAAGTGGGTCTGTCTCAATAGAGGCACTCCCCTCCCCCCCTCCAAAAAAAAGAGGAGTCTTGGGCTTCTCTATAAAAACAAGTTGTGCATCACCAATCAAATCAAACCACTTCCAAATTATGTAGCACCTCTTACGATTGGTAAGTAGTTCAAATGAACTCAAGCCCGGTTCTCGTCCGACTTCGGACAATGTCCAGAAACACTCACAAGAGTGCCCCCAGAAAAAGCAACACCAGGGCTTAGCCAGCTTATCCACCCCCCCAAAAAAAAACTCAAGTCACCCACATCGCACATCACAAACTCCATGGTTTCCCTCTTTTTAAAGTCATTCCCCCCCTCCCCCCCCCAAATAGCAGCAGTTTACGCGAGAACACGCCCAGCTTGGGGGTTTGATACACCCCAAAGCATGGCTTTTCTCAGACCCACTTCTTACAGGGAATGACCCTACTGTGGATGGACGAAATCCATTTCGCACCACCTTGAAACCACGGGAGATCATGGTTTTTTGCTATTTACAGGGGAATCATCAGAAACCAGGGTTTCTTAGGTGGTGCAGGATTTTGTTCATCCACAGTAAGAACATCTTCCATCCGATGTAGGTTCCTTTCAAAGAATTCCCCAACCGGTTAATTCCCAACACCCGAACCCTGGGTCATTCCCTATCGCAGCAGCAAGCAAAGTAACCCCGAAACATATTGGTCCATTCCCAACACCCAAACCCTGGGTTATTCCCCATCGCAGCTGCAACAAAGTAACCCCGACAAAAATATCCAAGGGAGTCATTCCTATACACCCTGGGTAATTTTCCCTACCTCTCGCACCTGCAGGCAAAAATTGGCCAAACCCTCGCCCTGAAAAATCGCCCAGGCATCGGCTCGTTTTTTTGCTGGGCTCCGCGCTTGCCCACGGATTGGCCTCCCACCACGCAGATCTGGGGCAGCTGAAAGTCCAGCTCCAGCCCCGCCTGCCTCGGATTGGCGAAGCTCGGCACAAACTTTTGGCTCATCGGGCTTGGCGGGGGAGGGGGGGGGGAAGGGGGGAGGGGGGGGGAGGGGGAGGGGAGGGGGAGGGAGGGAGGGGGAGGGGGAGGGGGAGGGGGAGGGGGGGGAGGGGAGGAGGAGGGGGAGGGGGGGAAGGGGGGAGGGGGAGGGAGAGGGGAGGGGGAGGGGGGAAGGGGGAGGGGGAGGGAGGGGGAGGGGAAGGGAGGGAGGGGAGGGGAGGGGAGGGGGAGGGGGGGGAGGGGGGGGAGGGGGAGGAGGGGGAGGGAGGGGGAGGGGGAGGGGAGGGGAGGGGGGAGGGGGGGAGGGGGGGAGGGGGAGGAGGGAGGGGGAGAGGGGAGGGGGAGGGGAGGGGAGGGGGAGGGGGAGGGGGGGGAGGGGAGGGGGGAGGGGAGGGGGGGGGAGGGGAGGGGGAGGGAGGGGGGGAGGGGGAGGGAGGATGGGGGAGGGGGAGGGGGAGGGGAGGGGGAGGGGGAGGGAGGGGAGGGGAGGGGGGGAGGGAGGGGGAGGGGGAGGGGGAGGGGGAGGGGGAGGGGGAGGGGGAGGGGAGGGGAGGGGGGGGGGGGGGGGAGGGGGAGGGGGAGGGGGGGAGGGAGGGGAGGGGGGGGGGGGAGGGGGAGGGGGAGGGAGGGAGGGGAGGGGGGAGGGGGAGGGGGGGGGAGGGGGGAGGGGGAGGGGGAGGGGGAGGGGAGGGGGGAGGGGGAGGGGGAGGGGGGGAGGAGGGAGGGGAGGGAGGGGGGGAGGGGGAGGGGGAGGGGGGAAGGGGAGGGAAGGGGAGGGGGAGGAGGGGGAGGGGAGGGAGGGGGAGGGAGGGGGAGGATGGGGGAGGGGAGGGGGAGGGGGAGGGGAGGATGGGGAGGGGGGGGGAGGGGGAGAGGGAGGGAGGGAGGGGAGGGGGAGGGGAGGGGGAGGGGGAAGGGGAGGGGGAGGAGGGAGGGGGAGGGGGAGGGGGAGGGGAGGGGAGGGGAGGGAGGGGGAGGGGGAGGGGGAGGGGGAGGGAGGAGGGGAGGGGGGGGGAGGGGGAGGGGAGGGGAGGGGGGGGAGGGGGAGGGGGGGGGGGGAGGGGGAGGGGGAGGGGAGGGGGAGGGGAGGGGGAGGGAGGGAGGGGGAGGGGAGGGAGGGGGAGGGGGAGGGGGGGAGGGGGAGGAGGGGGAGGGGAGGGGAGGGGAGGGGGAGGGGGAGGGGGAGGAAGGGAGAGGAAGGGGGAAAGCGCGGATGAGCTCTTATTAGGGCCTTATTTGGTCTCCCCCCCAGGCCATGAATTAACAAACCCTGACCCTGTCTTTCTTTCTCCGGGTCAGATACGGAACTACTGCACCAAGCGAAAACTAATCTTTTTTTTCCGGGTCATTATACCAAACCAACCAAGTGTGTTTCCCACCCAAGCATACAAAAAACCAAACCATACCATACAAAGTGTCTAAGTGTGTTTTTTCCCACCCAACCATCCAAAAACCAAGGCAAACCCCGATAACTAACCCGGTGCTTGTTGTTTTCGGGGTCGGTATACATTCCACCTTTCGGGAACACCCAGATTCACTGGCAACGGCTCCGAGGCGCCTGTACCTCCAAGAAAGACACGCCCAACTTGGGCTCTTAAACCATCAAAAACGGAGCTTCCGAAATGGAGCTTGGTGTCAGCCCCAAGAAAGAGGACCCTGAAAATGTGTGACCAGACCCCTTGATTGGTATCGAGCCCCAGCCCCGGTCTCAAGACCCCAGGCTTGACTACCGAAGCGAAAGATCAGACTTTGGCCTGTTTCTTTGGCTCCAAAGGGCCCCGTTCTCCCCGAAGGGTCACCTGCTTTCAACATCCCAAAAGGTGATCTTAAAGGTTGGGACCACGCAAAACCCATGGAAACAACTAGTGGTTGTCTGGCTTTTGCGCTGGAACAGAGATCCTTTTGTGTTTGGATTGGACTTTTGAGGGAGACCTCTCCTCATGAACAAAGCGGAGCAGTTTCAATGGTTCCTGTGGACAAATCCACGCCGAGTGGCACCAGTTGATGGGTGGGATCTCAACCAGTATTCAATCGGGCTTCATCCCTCCCCGGGTGTAGGATTTCGTTCAGTGTTTATGCACAAACCCTCGTTGCTGAGAAAAACAGGCCAACGCTCACGACGTGATGTCCAGGTCTATCAGCATCTAGGCCAAACAGTGCATGTGCAAGACGTGTCTACCTCACTCGAATCCTGAGGAAAACAAAAATAAACCACGAAAACAAGCAAGAAGAAAGTCAAACTAACCGCAACAACAAAATCCCAAGCCCCTTTCTGAAACCCTCTCAGTTCGCCCTTGGGTCAGAGTCGGCGAGCATACACTCGTTTAACCTAGGGGGGCAAACAAGCGCTCATAGGTTATCATGGGTAAGTTTTGTCTCAAAGTATCCCCCCCCAAATCCCGATTTTATGCATTCAGGCTTCCACATGTTCTCAAGTCTGAGACACCTTGGGAAATGACCCAGGATGGTTCAAAATAACACGGTTTTCTCCAGACATGTGCCTAAATGGGTGTCAATACGTGGGTGTATTCCCAGGCTGTAATACAAACACCCTTGGATCCAGCGAATCCTGCATCCGTTGTTCAGTGGCACTCTTTTTCCTTCTTTTTTTTGGGGGGGTGGCTGCCCCACTAGAAATGGCCCAAGCCCCAAAAAGGGTTCCTTTTTGTCCAGGGTCACTGAACAACTGAGTGGCATACGGCCAGGATCACCTCTCAGAAGAAGCGGGTGCGCATGAAGTCAGGGAAGATCGTGACACAGACAGTGTGGCAAAATGACCTCCCAAATTATACCACAACAACCAACGCAGCACAACCCCACCGAATAAAATGACATCCAACTCAACGGCACCGCATTGCTGCTTTTCCCTTTTCCTATGATCCTGCGAGCAAGAGGACAATCAGCACCAAGGTGGGTCATACAGCCGACAGCCGACATGGCTGTCACCACACAATGCCATAGTGCCATATCTTCCACTCTTTGCCAAAATGTGGGACCCTTGAAAATGGTTGGCGGTCTCGCGTGTGTTCTGGTGCCATGTTCCACAGTTCATCTGCAGGTCCAATTGTGGTAAGTTCCCATCCAATCCTGGTTTTAGAAAAACCGACAAACATCAGGAATGGGACAGTTGAGCAGAACAATGGTTGAACAGAAGGCCAAACTAACAGGAATCAACCACAAGCGCATCCTTACACCCCAAAACCACACTCCTGAAGTGAAACCTTTTTCTGTGGTTCTCTCTCTGAGTGGAACGCCACTGCTACCAAAGTGGACCGGCCCTACCTTGCCACTGCAAAGGGTTCCCTTGGTATCATGGAACATCGCACATCGCGGAACAAAACACACGCACACACAAAACAACCAAATGAGTCGCAATGGATTAAGCAGGCGGCCGCAGCTATTTGTGGTTGGGATGGTCCCTTACTAACCTTCATCTACCTGGGTTTTGATTGTGGCTCAAATGACTCGGTGCGACGAGGAACTGCACTGCGTCCCTGATCTGGTTGATCTTCGGGATCTCCATCGCGCCGCGAAGCACCGCCAAAAGGCGCGGGCTTTTGGTGGATGGAGCTTCTCCGTTTGACCCAACTCAAGGTAAAAAGGTTTGGATACACCCAAAACATCGAAACACATATTGAAAAGTCCGCGTGGTTCAGATTCCGCTTCAGAAGAACGGCCCCTTTTGGGCACCGGGACCCAAATGATGTATACGCTGTTGGACCTTGAAATCAGACTCATTTCAGAATTTAAATCTTTCTCCGGTAGCCATGGTAGCTGAGGTGCTCTTTCCAGGCTGGGCCAACCGTTGGTTTGAACATGCCTTGACCCTACATAGAGCCCCCCAAGTGGGATTTGCTGACAGGGAATATTCAGAACTTGAATAGGTCTTACATAGGTTGGACATCCAAGTGAGTAAGGGTCTACATCATTCGCATGGGGTTGAGTATAGTTTGAAGTATAGTATGCTGTTCCTAAATTAATAGCCCCCTATATTACACACCTTTTGCAGCAACCTCCTTTTCATTTCCCTTCAAGGGCCAGGGTCTGGTTGAAACATTTGCTGCATGGGTACCTTCAGGGGGGGCGGGGTTGCATGAACCCTCAGGCACCTCTTAACTAGGTCCTCCAGATTTGAGAGGTTTGAATAAGTCGGTACCCGAACTTTTTTCGGTTTAGTCTAGGGGAACCCTCCCCCCAAAAAGGGTAAAAGGGCACTACTGGGGGACCTGGTTAAGGTTCTTGGGTGACCCCTGGGTTCCAACAAACCGGGGTCCTCTACGCCTGAGGCACGTCCTGAGGTTCCGGGATCGGAAGGCTTCGGACCACCTTGAGCCATGAAGGCCTTTGGCGGTTGTGACCAAATCGATGTGATCAAAATGCGGTTTTGGTCCGGGGAGCAGGGGTCGGGGTATGGGCCGAAATTTGGGGGGAGAAGGGGTGGGGGGGGCCTGTGAAATTAAAAAAAGGGGAATGAAGACTTAGAGCATGCACCCCTGCCTCTTTTTTCGGCGTGTGCCTCTTTCCGCACGCGGGGTTCTTCCCCGTAGGCCGAACTCTTGCCTGCCTGCCTGTCATGCAGGGGGTCGCAACACAGCCTCAACATGATGCTTTCAGTATACAAGGGAATGACAAGTACAGGCAGGGTTCCACTTTTTGACTACCCCAAGATAGACTTAAACCCAGGGGTTGTCCTTTTGGGGGGAATGAACCACTGGGTTTAAGTCTATCTTGGGGTCAAAAAGTGGAACCCTGAGTACAGGGTTTCCTCCATTTCCTTTTTTGAGACCTCAGCGGCAGAAGCAGTGGACACATCACACGTCACTTGCAACTTAAGGGGACATCAAGGGACCCCTGAAGTCAAGGGAATGACAACTATCTCGATATCTTGATGTTTCTTCAGGTTATCCATCTGGTTTCCCTTTTAAACCACCAAAGGGCTATGGACTCCACCTAATTGCAAGAAGTCAGCCTCTTTTGTCGAGCTGTTCTTTGTCTGCCCAAACGTCAAGCGTGTCTTCATTGTCCGGGCTCGCTCCAAAGACATTGCTGGCCGATGGGGTGATCCCGCAAAACAGGTGTTCTCCCTTTGGTTTCCAGCAGACCTACCCTCAAAAACACATATGGCCATGGGTCAAAACCCAAATCGTATCCCCAGTGAACATCCCAATCCCCACAAAAATAGGTTCTAAAATCGGAAATGGGATCCCATTGGTGTTGACCCACGGCCATATAGGTTCCTGAAACACAAAAGGCAACCGGCCGCCACAGTGCGCCCTACACGGACGGCGGGGGGGGGGTGATCCTGCAGGAACGGCAAGTACCTGGAGTACCTCCAAACATGAACTCGAAAGACCCCCCCCAAAACAAGAAAGAAAGAAAGGGCTCCAAGTCCCAACAGGAGGTCAAGTATGTTTTTTTTTTTTTGGTGGCGCTTCAAGTTTTCTGTTTACTTGCAGATTTCTAGGGGAGTAACAGGGCCTGTGCTTGACTTTCACTCAGGCTGTGATGGCCCCGTGTCAACATTCACCAGGTGAAACTCGCGCGCGACCGGTTTCGCTGCCGTCCGGTGAGCGCTGGCGGCTTGGGCTTGGGACGGAGAGGTTTAGCAAAGCTACCAACCAGCCCTGGGATGCCCCAATGGGCAAAACCAAACCCTAAACCAACCTGTTTTGGGCATCCCAACCCATTTCGAGGATTTACTGTTGAATTAAACTTAGTCTCCTTTATGAACCAAACCCTTTTCCCGGGTCAGCTTGAGGAACAGCAAAGGCAAACCCTTGTGTTTGATTGCTTTGATATTTTGGTTTTGTTGTTGATGTCGGGGGGATCCCTCGTAAGACAACCCGGAATTAATGTTTTGAGGCTTTTAACAAGGAGCAACTGGAGCCAGGCGGAAAAATGGTTGGCAGACTTAGAGGGGCGAGAGGCTCGCAAAGGCCTTGAGGCTGCGCTTTGAGCGTCCCGAACTGCAAAAAAACTGCGGAAGCTGAATTTGCTCATTGCAAATTGGGATAGGGGATAGGTTCCAGCGACGTTTCTGTCTGATATGATTAGAGTTAGGCCCAGTTATGGAATGTATATTCTATTGTTTGCTTCACTTTGAGTCACTGGTAAAATGTGAAATGTATCCTAAGTCTAGACAGGTTCTCTTTTGGTGAGAGGTTGCGCGCAAACTCTATGATCATTTCTCGACCAGATATTTTGTGAGAGTTCACTCAGAGAGCTCGGCGCAGTTGCTTTTTTCAGAGGGTCTGCTGCATCTTTTCTTGAACCCGTCTGGATAAAATCAAGCAGTCATTTAGGTGCGGCGATGAAGGCAGAATAAGGTCTTAAAGTAGCGGACAATCCAAAAAGGTATGCTTCCTTCAGGTTGTCCGTCTACACAACCCAAACAAGACTACCCCGAAAAGAAACAAATGGGTGTTTGTCAGAATAGAGGGACTCTTCAATGACGGTTATCCTTTTGGTGCCGCTTTTAACCCGGAAAAAAAAGGGGGTACCCTCGCAAAAAAACACAGACACGCCCACATGGATTTGTCTTTGTTTGAGTACCCTTTCTGGGGTTGTTCTGAAGGGAGAGAACCACCATTTGCGGCACCCACACACATGCTGAGACTCGGCGATTTTCTCGCATCCCAAGGAGCCGCTAAGCTGCCTCGATCCAAGCGAGGTCAATCCACAGGCTCCTAAGGATGCGATGCTGAAACCCTTTGGATGTCGTGTTTTTTAGGGGGACCTCCAAAATTGTGGCTTTCCTCTCTTAGAACCAACCAAAGTGGGCACCAAAAAAAGGAGCAACCAACCTGGTTCTTCCTGGTTCATCTGGTCAAATGAGTGACTGATTCATCCATCGACACAAGCGCGAGCTTGTAAACCCCACAGCCCCGAGCAACACATGCGATGGAGAGGGTTGCTCAAGTCTCCCCAGAAAAGTCGCTCCCGGCAGGCAAACATCAATTGAGTTTGCCCTGGCCGTCTGAGTCGACTGCAACGCTCGCTTCCCAAGTGGATTGACCAATCCACGGGCAAACTGTTTGGTTGCCACTAAGCCGTCTTCATCAAAACCGTCTTCAAAGTCCAGGAGCTTAGGGACTGAGAACAACAACACCAACATGGCTAGGTCCTCCAGATTTGAGAGGTTAGAAGAAGTTGAGGTACCCGAACGTTTCTTTAAACAAATACTTTTTTGTGTTCGGTTTTGTCGATTTTAGTAGGGGAACCCTCCCAACCCAAAAAGGGTGAGAAAGGGCACTACTGGCGGACCTAGACCAACATAGCTGCGGCTCAAAATTAGAAAGAGCTAGACTTATGCAGATTTTAGTCTTTGGTCCCTGTACCAAGGTGCCATGTTGGTACATGTTGTTGAGCCACTGCCACATCCTTTTGTGCAGTACTATTGCTTCCTTGGTCGAAAGAGCATCATCGACACTTGTTCCACCCACGTGAACAGGTACCTCTTTTTGCATGATTCCAGAGACACCTTCATACATGTTGGAAAGCTGAACCGAGGCTAAATCACTTGATCCACCTGGACTCTTCCCGGGTTCGCCTTCTGAAATCGCTTCCTTGAACGGGGAGACCCCCAATCAACCAAGGATACAGTCAAATCCTTCAAGGGCAAGCCTGATTTGGAGGTTCAATGGAAACTCTCTGAACACCGAAGAGACTTTTTCTGGATCCATCAGGAATGAGTGCAACACTCATCTAAGATTGGTTGCTGTTGACCCTGCAAAAAGTTTAACTTTTGGGGGCTTAGTAGAAAACCCCTTGATTTCAACCAAAAGTTAAAGTCTAAAGATCCAACCCAATAGCCGTCAAGTACTAAAGTCCGGACAAGGACACAATGAAGGCGGCCGATGGGCTGCACCTTTTGCCTGGCGCTTGGCAACAAGGCCGCTCCTTGTCCCAGACATCATGCACATCTCGATGTGCAGCTGCTGCTCGCGTTGTTGCGCTATCGATGGGGTGCCCTCTTGCAAGATCCTGTCACCTTGCACATACCTTCTTGGTAAAGAACTCCCTGCTGTCAAGCGACGCCGTCGAGATGACGCACATTTACTCTCCTTGTCCCTGGTCGATGGATTGCTTATCTAATTCTCAGGATTACGGTTTTTCTTGTCGCGGCTTTGACTTTCCCACCCCACTCCTCAGGTTGGGTCCCTTGGTACCTTCTGAGGAAACCCATGACTCCGTTGGACCCCGCCAACACCATCTTGGGGTACCTACTCATTACTCTTCAAACTTTCACTGAAAAGGAGACAATTACTATCAAGACCGCGGCAGTCAATCCCCCCAGGCCGTGGCAAACAGTTATAACTAACACTTTTCGGTGGTTCCTAAGGGGACTTTTGCAAAACAGCCCCAAGTTGCCCCAAATTGCCAAAACAGCGACGACCAGTGATTGACACATTTCGGTGGTAAGGGACTTCTGACTGACATCCCGAAGCAGCCAAACCGCGGCAAACAGTGATGAACAGAATTCGGTGCTTTAAGGGAACTCGTGAAGGACAACCTCAAAACGGCCATGCCTCCCGAACAAGAAAAAAAAAGGAAAAAAAAAGCCCGACGTCTGGCAACGGGTCGATTTTTCTTGACTCGGTCTCCTCCTTTGGCCCAGTCTTCTGGACGAAGCACTCCGTGGTTTCGTAGAGCCTGGCCACCGGTCACCCCGGTTTTCGCCGAGGTTGCGCCAGTCGGAATCCGTTTTTTGGGTCCTGGTTTGGGGAATCGGACTGCATATGATATGTCCTGGTTTGAGGGTACAGTCTTGGGGGTGGTTCAAAGGTAAAACTAAGGAGTAACCACCTTGTGGGGGTCACCTGTTTTTGAGACACACCCACTGGGGCTCTTGAGCAGTGTTGAACTACAACCAGTTGGACAAATTACTAGTCTCATTCACTTCATGAGTGGATTGACCCCAACAAACGCCCAACTTTTTGTTTGCCGCTAAAACTGTTGTCTCGAAAAGTGCAAAATTCTGGCATTCCCAAATCCACGGAGTTGTAAAGCTTGAATTTGCTTGCTCGCGGGTATGCGAGCGTTTACAAGTTTCCAAATGCATACAAAGCGAGTTGTTTCATCCGTACTGGGGCACTACAAAGGAAGCCACTGTCTGGAATGAGGATTGCGGAGTGATTTGAACATCCCATGCTAAAAAGCTTCCAAACTATTCCCGCAAACACCCTTTAAACAAGGGCATGTTTTACATAATTTCAGCAATTTCCCAACACTGCCAAACCCGGCCAAGGGCCCTTTGGCGACATATCAAATCTAGGTCTTCCAGTAGAGAGCTTAGAATAAGGGTACCAATTTTTTCTGTAGTCTATTTTAGGTGAACCCTCGCAACCAAACAAAGTTGGGTTAGGAAGGGCACCAATTGCTGCGGGACCTATCAAATACGCGATGCCCAAAATGGAACTGGGCGAACTCCTGGACCAGGCGGATCCCGACTTGAAGACTGTTGATAAACCACCATGAGCATTTTAGACGCCTCTCCACCAAAATCTGGGCCCTCCAAAATATATTTCGGTTTCCCTTGCAATTCCCTTCCCGAAAAGAAAATGTCCACAGACCCATATGGACGCAGCCACGCAACCGCCTGCCTCAGGCCTCCGAACGGCAACTCGGACGCCCGCCTACTTGGCACGTGGTCGTAAGTCGTGGTCCTGCATGAAGGGGTCTAGGCCATCAGCCAAATGCTCGGAAGCTTCGATATGGCTCGTCTTCTTGGAAGTTGGTACCCCTCTTTTTGGTGGTGAATGAAAGGAACACCCAACAAAACACCCACCAAAATAAGGGGGTTCCCCTATTTTGAGATGTGGGGTTGTCTTCAGAAATCTGGGCTTCCTTTGCTAACCAGACACAAGTTGTTTTGTTGTTTCTTCTTCTTTTTTTGTTCAGGATACCCTTTTTGTGTGGTTTTGAAGGAAAACCTAAAGGAAAGCCACCACAACAAGCGGGTTCCATATTAATATCCCATTTTGAGACTCATCCAAATGGGAATCAAAGGACACCAGTGAAACACCCAAACAGAAGGGCGTTCTGGGATTGGGTGTGTCACAATCTCACTTCCTGAGTGGACTTAAACAAGTCTAAACTTTGTGTCTGCCACCAAAGTGGTCTTCCCAAAAAGTACAAAGTCCAAGAACTCAGGAAGTGAGTTATACTTCACCAAACTGAAAAAGACATGGAAGACCTCAGAAGGGACTTTGTCATAGGTCTGCTCGCAAAGTAACACCTTTCATCAGCCATTGGTCATGGGAAGTGTCTCTCATCTGGGCCCATGGTTTTGAATTGTGTGTGTTTTTTCGGGCACGCCGCCCCTTTTTTTTGGGGGGGGGCTTCCTTTTGGTTCTCCTTTAAAACCCACAACAACGAAACAAGCAGTTCGCAAAAGAGCGAGTTGCATGTCCTCCTCGGTGCTTTGGGGCACTCCCGACCCACCTGGCAAGCGGAACCAAAACGCGGAGATCATGGCGCCGACGACTTGTAAATGCCCTGGGCTCCTGCTTTTTGTTTTTTTGGGGGGGTGTCTTCACAAGTGGTGTTTGAGACTTGCTTTTGGGTTGTTTGGGTCTTCAAAAGTGGTCTTTAAGAGAGTTGAAAGGACGAATCAAGGCCATCCTCCAGCAACCAAGATCCCCAAGTTACCCCAGAAGAGGTTCTGAAAGAATCTTCAAATGAATCGTTCCTTTCGAACCTCCGACTTTGTCTATCCCGAAAAATGAAAGGGCATGGCTAAGTGTCGAGCCAATTCAACACCCTTAGAAACATGTGGGCCAGTTTCACTCAAAACCAGCACCAAAACCAAAGAGCTAGAATCCGGGATACTTCCCCATCCCCACTGCACCGTTCAGGCCTTACTTGGCTTTATTTGGATTTAGGTAGCCGATTTTTTCCCGAATGGCAACACAGCATGGATTAATCATCCCTTTAACGCACGGGCGGGGATCGCAGCTTGGGGATTCCACATCAATTATGCACTTCTGGGAGACCTCACCCCCCTTCCGCCAAGTGACTCATCTGGGGTTCACATGGGTGTAAATTCTAATAAGGGACCCTTTGGTGGACATCATTTTGGAGGGGGTTCATGTCCACCAATCACTTGTGAGGTGGGTCTCTGTTGGCATTCACGGCCGCATGATTTCTCTCTTGTTTGGTGAAATCAAACATCTCCTGTTACGCCATGTTAGGCCCATGTCGATCGAGCTTCCTGGTGTGAGGTGATGTTTCAAAGTCCAAATGAACGGACCCAACGGAAGGCATGTCCCTTTGATGGTATTTGCATAAGCCGCTTGAAAAAACAGAAAGTCCAGTAGTGATAAGATTCACTTTAAAACCAACAGGGGAAACAATAATATATTATATCTTTAAAAAAAGAAAGAAAATGGAAGCTACCCGGCCACTTCTTGATTTAGCCCTCCGTTCCTCCGAGCGAAAAAGCGCTCGCGTGAAACTCGGGATGCCTGCAGCTTCCGCGTCAGCATCTCCATATTGCGCCGGATTATGCGGTGCTTGTCCTCCTAAAGTCAGGGTCATGCTGACCCTTTTCCTGACTTTTGGTGTGGACACTTGGGGTCTGCTTTGGCACCAGGGTATTGGTGCTTTAGCCGAACAAAAGCCATTTGAGTAGTGGGTGTTTGCCCTTTTTGTGTGGCTCTAAATTTTTAAGAGTCCATGCCCCGCATCCGCATTAGATGGCCTTTTTTTGAAACTCTGAAGTGGATCCCCCTTCGGACCTCTTAGGCAATCTCCACATCTGAACTGCTCCCCTAAAGGCTTGGGACAAATGCAAACATCCCAGCAAAAACAAACAAACAAACAAAAGAACGGCTCGTTTTCTCGTTTGTACCAGACTAAATGTGCCCTAAGCTCACCAGTTCAAATCCCAGGTTTGAAAAACTGCAAACTGCTGTTTGGCTCGAGGCACCACTGAACAAAAACAACACAGAAACGCTCAGAAGTCGGTGATGAAACAACACCTCGAATTTGGACAACTGATCCGAATCTTCCCAAGCACTGGTATGTCAGCGAACAACTTGGCAGTCCAACGAAGAATGAACAGAACATGACCAGCAAACAAGAACAGTGCGGGTTGACCACAGCGTAGCAAAAGCTTGGCCGCGGATGAGTCAGCAAAAAAACACAAAGACGACACGTACGTAGCGAATTTGACATTGCCCAACCAATGATTGAATTTCGTCATTTGTTTTGGACCACTTGATCAGATTTTGCTCGGATAAGTCGCTTTTGTTTGCATTCTATTTTGGACCAGTTCGTTCAAAAGTGTGGCTTGGACAGCACACCTACCAAAAGTAAATAGAAGTCATGCAGAACTGATCCAAGATGACACCTATCAGGGCTACCCCGGAGATTTCAGGATAGAAAGCTGTTCCGAGAAGGAAACAAAAGGGGCAACTACCATTTGCTTCTACCCAAAGGTGGTTACTCATTGGAGGCTCGGAGCAAGCCTGCAAAAGGGCGCCCATGATGGCAAAATCCCATCCTGTCGAATCCTGAAATAGTTCTTGGATGGCATCGTGGGTTGTCTCTCGTTTTACCCCCAATCGGGGAGCTCGATTTAGGGCAGACCCGCAGACCAAGGACTTCTCCATGGTTTGGGGCCAAGTGTCTTGGAGGTCCTTCACACACAACTACATCTTTTTCCCTTTTGCCCGGTTCAACTGTCCGACTCAAAAAAAAAGAGGCACGGCCAAAACCACCACGGTGTCACTTTTTGGGGGCTACACCAGCCCCAGGCTCCAGAAACAGAAGCCATGGCAACCCACCGAGGGACCTCCCCCTCCACGGCTTCTCCTCGGAAAGCTCGCGCTTCGGCTTGGGCGCTTCGCTCAGCTCCGCCTTCGTGCAAGAGAATCCGCGGAAGCGGAAGCGGAAGCGGCATCCAGCTCCGTTCGGAAAGGATCGGTTTCGGTAGCCTCCCCCCTACTGTTTTATCTCACTGGCCGAGTGGATGGCCCAAAAAAAGTTTGAACTTTTTATTTACCACTAAAATGGTCCAAGCCCAAAAAAGTTTAAAGTTCATGAACTCTGGAAGTGAGTTGTTTGCGCTTTTCTCTGCAAAGTCTGCCACATCTGACATCTGCCAAGTGGGTTTTGCACATCTGCCACATCCCTATGATTCAAAAAACCGTCCCCTCATGAGGGGCCCTTCTCTGTTACTTTTGGGCATCCTGGCTCGGCGGAAGAAAAAAAATCCTCGCGCGCGCCTGCCGCCTCTTCTCCTCACAGAGCTTCCGCCGAGCCTGGCGCTCGAGGCTGGAGATGTTCATCTTACCCTGGCCAAGTCGCCATGGAACTTATCTTCCAAAAGAAACCAGGAAACTTTGACTTACCCCTTAAAACTCCAAGCCCTGGGGAAGTTAATCTTTTACAGACATATAGCCAATGTTACCACCCAAAAGTTGAAAAGTTGTGCTTTTAAGAGGTAAGTTGAACCTTTCCTGATAAAAGTTGACCAGAAGAACTGGCCATGGAACTTATCTTCGTCATGTCCAAGAGAAACTTGTCTTCCAGGACCCGGTCAGGTTCCACGGGTAGGCCATGTTTGTTTAAATGGCTTTCCTTCGAGCTTCGTCTTCCGGGACCGACTGAGGAGTCAGGTTCCATGTGGATGGGAGGATATTTTTTGTTTACTGGCGTTTGAAGCGTAGTTTCAGGGTCCGGAACACCTCTAATATGGAAAAAGAAAGCCAGCTGAAGAAGTTTGAGCCGTTCAGTGAAGTTGATGACTACCAGTACCTTCCTATTAAGTATTGATATGGCCCCTGCGGGCAATGACATGACGCATGGTCGAAATTTTCCCAAGAGGCTAGGACATGGGAAACTAGGTAAGTGCCCTGAGTTTTGTGGGAGATTTAGTGACTCCCCCCCATGTCCCTCTCAAATGTGTGTAAACAAAGACTTGGAAGGCATGTTTAGAGGAATCGCAACGAACCTCTCTGGGGCGGGGGGGGACCAACATCTTGCTGCATTCGATCCAAAAGGCGACGCTTCTGAATGCAGCTGCAATGAATGTTTTTCAACAGCTTGCCCCTATGCCTATTTGTAAGCATAGGACATGCTGAATTGAGCCACAATTCTGCCTGGTCCAGAGGCAAAAACCACAAGGGTTACCTCGTAAAATCCCTAACACCATTGCCACAAAAAAACAAAAAAACACGCGACCGGGGACAGCAAAACAGATCCATGGCGGCACAAAGCTCCGGTGCTCATGTCCTCTGCGTCATTTTTGTTGCTGGTGTGATAGATGGGGAATGACTCGTTGAGTCCGGGTGTCGGGGTCATGAACCGGTTTTGCTCGGATTCCCGAATAAAGGAGAACCAAATCAGATGTTTTTTCTTTTTTTTGTCTTACATATATATATATATATATATTGGGGGTCATTCCATGTCTCATCTGCCCAGAACCAGCAAGTCTTTCGGCTCCGCCCAGCGGCCGCTCCTCCGCAAACTCTTTCACCTGCTTCTGGTGGCGTCTGCGCTTCTTCTCCTCCCGAGCCTTGTGCCAGGCGAAGTTCCGAAGGCGCCAGCGAAAGCGGCGCGAGATGAGAGCAGAGGATGATCGCTTTGCCGGAAGCCTGAAATTCAGGGAATCCCTTGGTGATCCTGCAGAACAGCTAGACGAATATGACAATCACAACATCATGCAAGATACATGCGGGTGTGGCTCAAAATTAAACAGCGGGGATTACGCAGGTTTTGGTCCATGTTTCCACTTACCAGGGTTCCATTTTGGTACCGGTTTTTTGAGCCACAGCCATGCAGCATAATCAACAATTGCCGCGGTCTCGAGACAACAGTGTTTTGTGATGAACTTTGAGACAAGAAACACAATCACTACAAAGAACAAACCCTCAACACTGCAAAGACGAGCCCTTGTTGAACATGTGTGTTCCCTTGGAAGAACGGGCTTTAGTGATAGAGATTGGAGTCGGAGTAAATCGTTAAACAAAAACAAACAAAAAAACGTTCCTGAGACGCACCAAGTGAGACTTGCAATGCCGAAAAGAACCCCGATACCGATTTGGAATCAGATTCCATGGACAGTGTGTGATACAGCTTTCGTTTTTTGGAAGGCGAAGAGCACATGCGCATTTGGCGCTTTTGACAAGGTGCACAGGTCCAAGGGCACCACTACTGTGGATGGACGAAATCCATTTCGCGCTTTGAAACCATGGGAAGCCATTGCTGGTTGGTATGTACAGGGGAATCAAATCCTTCCAGAGTTTCTGAGGTGGTGCGAAATGGATTTCGTCTCACAGGTGCCTAGGTGTCTGTAGTTTCCCGGCCTTTCTTCCCGGCTTGCTGGGTTGCTATCTCTATATCCGGAGCCGGGGATTTGCCTTTTGGAATCCTGAAACCCTGTGGCTAGGAAACCTGGGTGAACGGTTCATTTCCTCAAGAGACGAACCAGATTTTCACGGATCAGAAGCCTTCAGGACAGCGATCGTTGGCGTTTTTGTTGGCTGCCTCTCGAACCTCTCCTGCTCGCCGTGAAGACACAAACAAACACCTGGAACCCCAAGGAGCTGCTTTTGTTCAGCCACTTTACCCAGCTAGTACCCCAGAATTTCCGGCAAAAGTAGCCGGAAAAATTAGGGGCAACTGGGGATCTAGGTAGGGAAAACACGAATCTGCAACCACGAGGTGCAAAGCGCGCTGGGATTGAAACAATTTCCTGAAAGTAAGAGGGAGCCCCTACCAAACCCTCCAAACCAAGGGGGAAGCTGAATTATGACATCTTAGCATGGCTGCTTTTGTTTTGCGGGTACCCCTTTTTCGTGGTAAGGGGAAACCATAAAGAAAAGCCGCAGCCATTTTGGGGTCCCCTAAAAAGACTCCCCGCCAATGGGTTTCTCTCAGATGGGGCCTAATTTGTTGCACGGCTTTAAAAGAAAAACTAAAAAGAGACGAAAAGGAACCAATCCAAACCTCCAATCCAATACCCAAACCTCCAATCCAATACCCAAACCTCCAATCCAATACCCAAGCCTCCAATCCAATACCCAAACCTCCAATCCAATACCCAAACCTCCAATCCAATACCCAAACCTCCAATCCGAACCGAATCTCCAATCCAATACCCTTCAATCCAATACCCAAACCTCCAATCCGAACCGAATCTCCAATCCAATACCAAAATCTACAATCCAATCCAAACCTCCAATCCAAGCCGAATCTCCAATCCGATACCCAAATCTCCATGCAATCCAAACCTCCAATCCAATCCAAACCTCCAATCCAAACCGAACCTCCAAACCAATCCAATCCAAACCCCAACTCGAAAAAATAAGCTCAGGTGATATCCCCAACAACATGCGGTGCTCCTTTTAGTGCTCGCACCACCCCGCAGCCCTCGCAGAATCTCGTGAAACCCTAGTACAACCCTGGTGGAACCCTCGTGGAACCTTATCTCAGGGCCGCCCCGGATCAGCCTGGAGCCTATCTGGGCTGAGACCCCAAAGCTTTCAGCTGTTGAAAAAAACGACAAATCAACCCTCGAAACCAAACCAAACCTCCGATCTAAACTAAACCTCCAATCCAACCCGACCCAAACCCAACCCAAAAACCTCCAATCCAATCCAAACCAACCCAAACCAACCCAAACCAAACCCAAACTGCAAGAAGACCTCAAAACCCACCGGCCGATCAAAACCACTCCAACCCCTCGCCTCCTTGGCTTCCAGCAGCCTCCTCTCCGCCTCTTCTCGGAGCCGCTCCTGGCTCGACGAAAGCTGGGCGGTTCCTCGTTTCAGAGTTGGCCAAACGGCCAATCCATGCGAAAAAGGGAAGCTTCCACAAAGGGCACAAAGCCACGCTTGTTTATATTTCCTGGCAAAGGGCCCCAGATTAATCCATGAACAAAAACTCGTGGGAAGCCAGGAAGCCACCACAAAGCTAGCGCCACGCTGGTTTATTTTTATTGGGAAGCCACTACAAAGGGCACCACTTTGGTAACCAAAGGCGAGGATCCAGGATTGGCTTTGAGCGGCCCGGCAATCCAGCAATAATCAGAATAAGCCGATGGGATATCAACTGCCAAGTCCGGAACTGCCCGGAAACGAAATCTCCGGATCCTTCCCTGCAAGCTGCCCCAAACCAGCCCGGAGCATAAATGGGCAGAGACCACATAGCCTTCGGGTGGGAAAACATACCGAAGGAATCGTATTCTTTTGGCCAAACATTCATGCTCACTTTGGATTAATTTGGAGGAACGCACCCAATCAGGCGGGGCAACCCCGTTATTTAGGGAAGAACTCATATGGACTAGTAGAGGCGCTGAGAAGCATGTCACTGCCCATTCGCCTCATCACGATAGTGCTGGAGGGGACATGACCATTCGGGGACTTCAGAACAGGAAGCCCCACGAGAAAGGAAGAAGAAATGAGTCTGGTCAGATGTTTGGGGTGCAACCTCGGTAGGGAACTTGTTGAACTATGGGATGGTGTCCAAATCGAACGTGACAAGAGACCAACCAGCTTGAGAGATCTTAAGTCCTCTATCTCAGAACACACCTCTCTCTCTCTCTCTCTATGTATCTAAATATATATGCATACATATATATATATATGTTATAATATCTATATGCATATATATATATATTGGGGAAGACTCCACCCCCTCCATCATGTAGAATTGCCAATTGGAAACCTTGTGTTTGGACCTGCCGGCTAAAGAAAGGCCTCAAATAATGCAAGGAGTTTGAACAAAATCTTCTGAGACACGGCACAGAATGCTTCCCCCCCTTCTGCTTGCAGTGCATTTTACAAGGGCGTCCGGGGCGTAGGGGGGTACCCGGGCTTTGACCCACAACCATCCATCATCTATATACAATGCTTGGAGTTGCAAGCGATCCTGGAAACATTGCTTGGGGGGTACTGTTTACCAGCGCAGAAGACGAAAAACCATCGAGTAAAATGAAACCAAAGGGGGGTATCTGGGCTTTGACCCGCACCCACAGTCTGCTTCGAGTACTCCTTTCTCGGTTCCTTCGGCTTGCCTGCTCGTCACGCGCCAGCCGCCATTCCTGAACCTGTTGTGAGGCCCGTTGGACGTCTGGAGGCAAATACGTGGATGTGTTTTTTGAGGGTACCCTTCTTGCGGGGTTTTGAGGGTTCCCTTCTGGCGGGGTTTTGAGGGTACCCTTCTTCTTGTGTGCTTGTTGAGGGTACCCTCTTGCAGGGGCTTTGAAGGGAATCAAAAGGGAAAAGGGGTGCCCGTCGTATTTGTTTTGCATGCACACAGACGCACATACACGCGCACACACACACACACACGCACAAACACCTGGCATGAGCCTGGTTTTTGCCTAGGCAACCAATCAGCCTTTGGGCCAGCGTTGGGCGATGCAAGCAGCCCTTTAAACCAGGGTCGAAACCACACTTGTTCAATGCATGTTGTATTTCCCTTTCAAGGGGGCCAAATCATTGTTTCAACGTGGCCAGTCCATTTTGGAATTTCGGGGCTTTAGAGAAGCACCACACGGATCTCATCATGGACTCCGACCCGCAGAAACGGTTCAATTCTTGGAGACGGGATTGCGTGCGTGACAGCCAAATCAGCGATGAAAAAGGAGGCAAAGACTCCCGGCAATAGCTGAATGAATACCATGGTACCATACAATCTGAGAGGTACGACACAAGCAACATACAGGCTGCATGCATCTACACTTTTCTTTTTTGAATATATATATATATGGCTAAATGCCAACCGTGACCATCACTCCACCGCTATATCACTGACAACGATGATATTAACGAGTTGAACAGACATAACGGCAATGACAGAAGTCATAACCGCAACAAGGACAACAGTCATGTCAATAGCAATGACAACCAACAAGACAACAACAGTCGCAGCCCAGTAACAATCCCGCACACAAAAACTGTCTACACCAATAACACTAGGACCAACACAAGCAGACATAAACAGGAACAACATCAAGAACATTGCAAAAACACATACTGAAAACAAGCAAGCCATGAGAACCTACCATGCACAAGAAGCGAGGGCCAAAGAACCACAACCAACAACCAGCAGCACAGCCAACAGCCAACCTCCAAACCAACTTGTATCTGGGTGTCTGTTTTCGGGGAACCCTTTTTGGGGTGGCAAGCGCCGGCAAGAAAAGAAAACCCCTCGGGTCCCATTTTGACACAAACCCAAGGGCCAAACCGCTGGAAACAAGCATGGTGTCACCAACCAGCTAAACCGAAACACCATGATTTCTATGACTCACTTCCTGTGTTGATGGGCCAAAAAAAGTTCAAACTTTCTGTTCACCACTAAAATGGTCTTCCCAAAAAGTTTAAAGTCCAGGAACTCGGGGAGTGAGATGACTCCTCCCCTTGTGTCGAGATCACCCTTTTCACATTGCTTTCAAAAGAACAATAATTTGGGAAACCATGCATTTGGAGCTTCCCTCAGGGGACCCCCTCCCGCTCACAGTGCCGGCACCTTCTGTCTCTGCGCTTGTGCACGCTGCTTCTCCTAGTGCTTGTCTCTTCATTCTCTCTCGACAAAAGAACTTTCTTAGAACACACTTTGGAAGCGCGATGAAAAGAAACTGCAAAGAATCGCACATATCGCGCGGTGAGCAATTTAGTGCAGATTGACCCATACCATTTGTGGCAGTTGTGTTGTGACGTGGGCTGAATGGTGGGGTACAGTATATACATACATATATATATATATAATATACCACTGAAAACCAACTTGGCCCCATGGCCGTTATGTCACAACCCAGCAGCCTCAAAGTACCTGTACACTGGCCCATGATTTTGGGGATTTTGACGCCTCACGATCAAAGGGCAGCTTGAGTGTCCATGCACCCATGTCCGGTTTCTTGAAGCAGGCGAAGGTGAACCCACCTCAAGACCCTCCCCCAGTTTTCACAACCCTCACAGCCCAAAGCTACCCAGAATCGGACATCCCCCGGAGATTGTTCCCAGCTTGACAGGGTTCCGAATATTTCCCCACAGTTACATGGGCCAAGGCTGGGTGTGTTGAAAACAACAGGTTTTGGGGTTCCATTTTACACCGAGTATCTTGCATCCCCTGATTGAGGCTCAGGAAAAGGCGTTCTCCAACATCGCTCCTCCTCCTGGACCAATGGCTCCTTCTGGTCACAAGGCACTTCCTGGCAGCGGATCCAAAAGGGAAGCGGTCGGCGATGTGGGGCTTGATCAACTGGTCCGATGAACATGGGATGACCATTGGGTGAAAAAAAGCACCTACAATATATATATATATATATATGTCAAAACGAAATGGGACAAGTTACCCATCGTCATTTGGGGGCCAGGAATATTGATTAACCCCCATGTGGGTGTTTTGAGACTCTTCGAAAAGGTCGCTTAGGGAAACCAAAGAAACACCAACCGCTCAAATCAATTTTGGACACATTCCATTCTTTCGGACCGCTGGTGGAAACCCCATCCCAGTTGGACCACCATCGGCGCTCGAACTACACACGAGAATGGATAGTGCTCATATTTCAAGGGTGGTTCCTAGTCTGCGCTGTGCAAGATGAGAAGCCTGCTAGTTCCTTTCATACCCAAGGAAAGATTGAAAGTTTGGGGCGGGCGGATTGGTGTGTGTGTGTCATGATTAGAGTTGGGCCCAGTTATAGAATGTATATTGAATTGTTTGCTTCACTTTGAGTCACTGGAAAACATACAAGTAAGGTCCGGCAGAGCCGGGGGGCGGAAGTTTCAAAGCAGTGAACAACTATAGTTTGGAGAACTGTCCTTGGCCCCTTGCTTCTCTTTCTCTCTGTCTTTTTCTCTCTTTCTCTCTTTCTCTCTTTCTCTTTCTCTTTCTCTTTCTGTTTCTCTGTCTCTTTCTCTCTCTTTCTATCTATCTCTCTAGCTATCTCTATATCTGTTTATTGATCTATCTATCTACCCATCTTTCTCTGCACTTAAAAGTTGCGATGTTCAATCCCCGAAAGTTGACTTCGCGTACTACTTTCGTACTTAAAAGTTGCGATTTTCGAGCCCCAGCTGCGAAACTGGACTTCACGTACTACTTTCGTAGTTAAAAGTTGCGATTTTCGAGCCCCAGCTACGAAAGTGGACTTCGCGTACTACTTTCGTACTAAAAAGTCGCGATTTTCGAGCCCCAGCTGCGAAAGTGGACTTTGCGTACTACTTTCGTACTTAAAAGTTGCGATTTTCAAGCCCCGGCTGCGAAAGTGGACTTTGCGCACTACTTTCGTACTTAAAAGTTGCGATTTTCAAGCCCCAGCTGCGAAAGTTGACTTCGCGTACTACTTTCGTACTTAAAAGTTGCGATTTATCTATAGATCTACCTATCTATCTACCTCTCTATCTCCTATCTATCTATCTACCTCTCTATTTATTTATCTCTCTATCTCTTTATCTATCTAGCTAGTTATTTGTCTATCTATCTACAAATCTATCTATCTCTGTCTATCTCTGTTTCTCTATCTCTTTCTATCTATTTCTCTAGCTATCTCTATATCTGTTTATTGATCTATCTATCTACCCATCTTTCTCTGCACTTAAAAGTTGCGATGTTCAATCCCCGAAAGTTGACTTCGCGTACTACTTTCGTACTTAAAAGTTACGATTTTCAAGCCCCGGCTGCGAAAGTGGACTTTGCGCACTACTTTCGTACTTAAAAGTTGCGATTTTCAAGCCCCAGCTGCGAAAGTTGACTTCGCGTACTACTTTCGTACTTTCGTAGTTAAAAGTTGCGATTTTCGAGCCCCAGCTACGAAAGTGGACTTCGCGTACTACTTTCGTACTAAAAAGTCGCGATTTTCGAGCCCCAGCTGCGAAAGTGGACTTTGCGTACTACTTTCGTACTTAAAAGTTGCGATTTTCAAGCCCCGGCTGCGAAAGTGGACTTTGCGCACTACTTTCGTACTTAAAAGTTGCGATTTTCAAGCCCCAGCTGCGAAAGTTGACTTCGCGTACTACTTTCGTACTTAAAAGTTGCGATTTATCTATAGATCTACCTATCTATCTACCTCTCTATCTCCTATCTATCTATCTACCTCTCTATTTATTTATCTCTCTATCTCTTTATCTATCTAGCTAGTTATTTGTCTATCTATCTACAAATCTATCTATCTCTGTCTATCTCTGTTTCTCTATCTCTTTCTATCTATTTCTCTAGCTATCTCTATATCTGTTTATTGATCTATCTATCAGTCCATCTTTCTCTGCACTTAAAAGTTGCGATGTTCAATCCCCGAAAGTTGACTTCGCGTACTACTTTCGTACTTAAAAGTTACGATTTTCAAGCCCCGGCTGCGAAAGTGGACTTTGCGCACTACTTTCGTACTTAAAAGTTGCGATTTTCAAGCCCCAGCTGCGAAAGTTGACTTCGCGTACTACTTTCGTACTTAAAAGTTGCGATTTTCGAGCCCCGGCTGCGAAAGTTGACCTTGCAAAAATGCTGCGCCTGCCACCAAATCTGTGCTTGACCTTGCTAAAGTGCTGCGCCTGCCACAAAATCTGTACTTGACCTTGCGAAAGTGCTGCGCGTGCCACGAATTTTGCACTTGACCTTGCGAAAGTGCTGCACCTGCCACAAATTCTGTACTTGACCTTGCGAAAGTGATGCGCCTGCCACGAATTTTGTACTTGACCTTGCGAAAGTGCTGCGCCTGCCACGAATTTGGCACTTGACCTTGCGAAAGTGCTGCGCCTGCCACGAAATCACTTGAAAGTGCTGCGCCTTCGATACTTGACCTTGCGAAAGTGCTGCGCCTGCCACGAAATCTATACTTGACCTTGCGAAAGTGCTGCGCCTGCCACGCAATTCAAACCTTGCGAAACCTTCGCGGTCCGGAAGCCCAATTCACGCACAGCGCCAACGTTTTCTGCATCTTGCCATCCCCCAGCTCGCAGAGAGTGGACGCAGCACCTTGCGAAAGTGCTGCGCCTGCCACGAAATCGATACTTGACCTTGCGAAAGTGCTGCGCCTGCCACGAAATCTATACTTGACCTTGCGAAAGTGCTGCGCCTGCCACGAAATCTATACTTGACCTTGCGAAAGTGCTGCGCCTGCCACGAAATCTATACTTGACCTTGCGAAAGTGCTGCGCCTGCCACGCAATTCAAACCTTGCGAAACCTTCGCGCGGCCGTGCCAATGGGCCCGTCTCCGAGACCGTTCCGAACCCGTTCCGAACCCGTTCCGAGACCGTTCCGACCCGTTCCGACCGCCTCCGTACAGGCGTCGCAGCCGAGGTGGTTTGCGCACAGTCCGGAAGCCCAATTCACGCACAGCGCCAACGTTTTCTGCATCTTGCCATCCCCCAGCTCGCAGAGAGTGCTTGCGAAAGTGCTGCGCCTGCCACGAAATCTATACTTGAGAAAGCTATCTACGTGTTAAGCTGGCTATATGTCAAAGCTATCTATCTATCAAGCTAGCTATATGTCAAAGCTATCTATCTGTCATGCAAGCCTATTGGAAAGCTATCTATCTGTCAAGCTAGCTATATGTCAAAGCTATCTATCTGTCATGCAAGCCTATTGGAAAGCTATCTATCTGTCAAGCTAGCTATATGTCAAAGCTATCTATCTGTCATGCAAGCCTATTGGAAAGCTATCTATCTGTCAAGCTAGCTATATGTCAAAGCTATCTATCTGTCATGCAAGCCTATTGGAAAGCTATCTATCTGTCAAGCTAGCTATATGTCAAAGCTATCTATTTGTCATGCAAGCCTATTGGAAAGCTATCTATCTGTCAAGCTAGCTATATGTCAAAGCTATCTATCTGTCAAGCTAGCTATATGTCAAAGCTATCTATTTGTCATGCTAGCTACCTGTCATAGCTATATGTCAAAGCAGCTAGCTCATTTAGTTCCAGTACTACGGAAGTTTCTTGTTAAACTTCCTTTGATAAGATGTATCCTAAGTCTAGACAGGAAATGAGAGGAATAACGCGATCAATGCTTGAACAGATATCATATTTGATTATTGAGGGTATTTTGAGCATGGCACGCATTAGGGTGTGTTTTGTTCCTTTAATGGGGGACCCTTGTTAGGCTTTTTTTTTGGTGTGGATTCATGTCCGCCAGCCCACTTTCCCTATTAACATCCATAGCCCTTTTGAGCAGGTCGGTTTTCGGACTAAACACAATGTGTTTCAGGTCCTTACATTATACACCTGAACATTGCCTTGTAAACGGTGGTTTCCCTTTCTTTATTTTGGTGTTGAAAAAGCATCATGATTCAAATGCTTGCAAAATGGAGATCTTTGAAGGAGCCCTGGAAAACCAACCAAGTAGAAGGACTGCGCTGTTCTTTATACTCTCCCACCCTTTGGAGCGATTTGGAGCAATCATCTTGGAGCTACGTTTTGGTGTCCTTCGCTTTCTGCCGCTCCAACAGCACCTTGCGCTGCCGCCACCGCGCCAGCAGCAGCCGGCGCCGCGCCTGTCGATCGATCGACATGGCGCCTGGGATCCAGCCCTCCCCGCCCCTCGGTTTTGAGCAAAGTGCTGCATGGGGGCGGGAGGGAGCCCAAATTTTGCCCAAACAAGGCCTTAGGGGCTCAATAAGGGCTTTTTAGGGGCTTGAGAAGGGCTTATTCGGGCTCCCTCCCCCTCCCCTCCCTCCCCCCCAGCCTCCATGACTGCTTTGATGCCAGGGCTTGGTTATGACATGTTGTGAATCGCAGCGTGACAACGCCTGCCAAAGAATTCGATGGAGGATGACCTCAAAGGTTTTGAGTGTGGTTCAAGGATCAGAACCAGGCACACAGAAACTTTAACAAACATCGGGGGACATCAGGCATGCATGAGGATGCATGCAAGCGCAAACCACATTTGAAGGGGCCAACCATTCAATGTCATAGCCAAATGCACATGCCAACCAACATCGGGGGTTAGAAACCAGATGGGTTACTCAGGGGTCGAACAGGGGTCCAGCCGCAACCATACGGTTATCAATCTGAATTGGGGGGAGTCATCATTTACATAGTGAGTGATGCCCAACGTTCGCCAAAGGCTTCCAGGTCTGAATTCATAGCCGCATAATCCGCAGCCCCAAGCCTCCAGTGGCCGTGCAAACACAAAGCCATTCGTCGCGTTTATTCACAGCGCTTGTTCAGGAGCAGTTGTTCCATGGACAGGGCGAAGCACATTGATTTGTTAGCCAAGTCACTGACTAATTACAAACCACCATCTTTAGGTTTCTTCCCATTGTTTAACAGCTTAGGCCCCCTCCACAAAAAGTTGAAGGAAATCGGGCACTGGAGGTCTGGGTCAGCCCGCAGGCCATGGCCTGATGGGCCTCCTGCTGGGTGCAGAAGCGCAGGTGCTCGGCCAGGTCAGCCTGATCGCAAAAGGGGACTAGGTGTGTGTATGGTCTAGGTGTATGTAGGTATGTAGGTATGTAGGTATGTAGGTATGTAGGTATGTAGGTATGTAGGTATGTAGGTATGTAGGTATGTAGGTATGTAGGTATGTAGGTATGTATGGTCTAGGTGTATGAATGTAGGTCTGTAGGTATGTAGGTATGTATGTATGTAGGTATGTAGGTATGTAGGTAGGTAGGTATGTATGTATGCATGTAGGTATGTAGGTATGTATGTATGTATGTATGTAGGTATGCAGGTATGCAGGTATGTAGCTGTGTAGCTATGTAGGTATGTAGGTATGCAGGTATGCAGGTATGTAGGTATGTAGGTATGGTAGGTATGTAGGTATGTAGGTATGTAGGTATGTAGGTAGGTAGGTATGTAGGTATGTATGTATGTATGTAGGTATGTAGGTATGTATGTAGGTATGCAGGTATGCAGGTATGTAGGTATGTAGGTATGTATGTAGGTAGGTATATAGGTAGGTAGGTATGTATGTATGTACCAGTATGTATTTATGTAGGGGACTATTTGGCAAGATCAAAAAAAACTCTTTCGCCGACTGCAATAGCGCGCATGGCCCAAAGTTGCGAGGAAATCAAGCTCAAGGCTAGGAAGTTCTTTATTCACTGAGGCTGGGCCTTGGCTCAAATAGCGAGGCTTGAGCCAATAGTCCTACCCCAGGGCAAAGTCTTGAGTCGGTATGAGTCCAACAAAGCACCAAACAGGTTGGCCTCCCTCGTCCTTGGCCTGCGTTTTTCACCTGAACATTACCCCCACCCCCCAAAGAAAGAGGTGCCTTTGGGTGTGGTGAAGGTGAGGATTTCGACAGCTGCCAAAGTGTGTTTTTTGGTTTTTAGTTGGCGTCCTTCGCAACATGTATTGTTGAATTGGGTCAAGGTTCAACCAAACACCTGGAATTTCAATCTGTTCTACCGTCATTATCTTAGCAAAAGGCCACATCGTGTGTCCCAGACCCCAAGTGGGTGTCCGTGGGAAGGGTTTCACATCCCCCCCCAAACAAAAAGCGAAAACAAGCGAGAACTGTTACGAGAAAGGAACCTTCTGGGGTTCTCCTGGGTTTCACTCCCCCCCCCACCCGAAAAAACATAATTTCACCAAGAAAGCACCCCAACCTGGGAATTGCTTGCGAGTCCGAAACGGCAGAAGTGGCATGTGCCTGGCTCACATCTGGGAACTGCTGCTCCAGACGGGAGTAGCACTGCTCGGTGGCCTTGACCCGACCAAAGACCCAAAGACCCAAATGGTACCCTCCGGTCGGGTTTTGGGGTCCTGGAATCATGGGGGTTGGGGGGGAGGGAGGGGGAGGGAGCCCTTATTAAGTAGTGGAGGGCCACGCCTAGCAATAAATTGCTTTCATACATACACCCCCCCCTACATTTTTTTTCATCTTCCATCTTCTACCCTTATTTGTTTTCATCATTTTTCTACATTCCTTTCTGTCCATCTCATCCGTTGTTTTATCATCATTTTTCCAAAATTTTCGCCATCCTTTTCTCCTTCCTCCTCGCCTCATTCATTTCACCAACTACCCTTCAAAATGTCATTTCCTCAATCTCCTCACCTCATCCATTTCAAAAAAATAAATTTTGCAAAATATATTGCAAAAAATATGTGTCATCAAAAAAAAATCGAACTGTCTAAAAACGATTTGTCCATTTCTCGGACAAAAAATAGAACAGCAACAACATCACTCCCTCCTTCGTTTCATCAGTTTCATCATATATATTTTTAGGCGTGGTCGCATAGCTTGCGAGCTTCGCTAACGCTCGCGTGTCCCTTGTAGGATTTTATCTTCAATATATAAAACGCTATACTTACATTATAATTATAACATATAAGGGTATAAATGTTATTATTATAGTATGATTAATAATTATGGGTTACATTTATAGTCAGGAAAAATGTCTTCAAATATGTAATCTACATATTTATCAATATCGCCAATGTCTATATATTTGATATTGTCTTTTCCTATTATTGAATAAATATATTCCCAGAAAAACAAATTAACTAGTAGCCATACTTGATATTTAGTGTTGTAGTAAGACCATACATGATATTTAGTTATTCTAAATTCATTCAAGACCTCGTTTATTTTATCTTTACTTAATAAATGCCAATCAATCGCTTCAAACATGTCTCGAAATTTTTTAACGAATGCTTTATATGGTTTAATTGCGTTTGCCCCTCCAAACCTCTTAATTAAATCTTTATTATTAAAGAACTCATCAATTTCTTTTTCAAATGACTTTCTAGCAATTTTATGGTAAAAACATACAGGAAATCGTTTTTGATATCTCATAAAGAATTTCAATTGTAATTGAAACTTTGTATATCCCTTATCCGTATGTTCTTAGCGCCTCATTTAACTTGTCAGCAACTTCCATTTCAGAAACCCTCGTTTCCAAAACGGAAACAACTGTTCCAAAAGCCATTTCCAAAATGGAAACACCACTAAACATGTATTATTTCCTCATCCGAAATACCACTCTGAAATGTCCTGTTTCCAATTGGGAAATACAAGTTTCCAATTAGGAAATACCAGTTTCCAATTGGGAAATCCAAATTTCCAAATCTGAAACCAAAGTTTCTTGATTGGAAATCACTCAGGAAATGTCAAACTCACTAAGATTTCACAAATTAATTCGCTTGGTATTTTATATAAATCTTCCTGCTTATGTATTGTTGGATTGTCTCCCCATTGTTCCTTGTTTCCACTTGGCAAACGTTGCGCAGTTTCAATATGTTTATTATTCCTGATGTTACCACAATCCTTTTTACATAATTCTCTAGGTTTCCAAGTTGTAATGTTATTCCATAGCCTAGTCCTCTTTCTATAATTAAATCCATATTTACAGTAATCAACATCTTTAAATTCAAACTCATCCATAAACTCCTGATTTTTTAATAATCCAGTTTGTGGATTTTCGATTACAAAATATTTAGGATTAAAATATTTGATAATCTCGATAGTTTTTAAGACAATACTATTTGCATATTCGATATTCCTAATTCCCCTAGTTTTTGCTACGCTGTATTCAGTGCATGGGGGACTACTCCAAATAAAATCAAAATGGTTTCTGTCAAACTGTTTGTAATCCCACTCCAAAATATCAGTGTTGATATCAGCATTTTTCAAGTCTAATGATATCACATTAAATCCAAGCGACTTTGCTATGGTTCCGACGCTTTTTGTTCCGCTAAATAATTCTAATAAATTCATATTATTAGAATTACTTAGATATTAATTATTCAAATAATACATATACTCCATCATCATTTTTTGAAATTTTGTAAAATTCTAAAGTGGTGCTTTTAGGTTGTTTGATTTTTCCTGTATTCAACATATCACAGTATTTCTTTTGCTTTGTAGGGTAGTCGCCCGATGGTCTTCCTATAGACTTTGCTTGAAATATCTTTTCGATTTTCTCCTTCTCTTCGTTGCTTTGTTGTTCGCGTTCAACTGGTTTCATTTTGTCATCAATGGATTTAATCATATCATTTAAGTTTTTGATATTTTTACTAATTAACGTTATCTTCTTCATTAAATCATTAATAGTATAATTTTCATTTTCAGACATTACTATATATGTATTTAGATATTTATTTATTTAATTATATATGTATAAAGTGCAATTATGTTAAAACTACTCTTTAAATACTAACTTATGTCCCTGTTAAAAATAACATTAATCAAATGTTCATTAGTTTCAACAACCATATCGCCACCTGTTTTTTCTCAATATTTAAATCCTTATCTGAGCTTTTATAAGAAAACATACAAGGAATACAACTAACCTTCACTCCGCCTTTCTTATCTACTGTCAATTCGTTTTTAAAAGTCATTACGTGATTAAATTTATCACATTTTATAGCCTTACTTTCACCCATTGATTTAACACTTTCTGCTGTTTCTTTCCGTGCTTCAATATCTGGTGTTGGTCTTTCTTTGCCTTTACTCTTTTTCTTTTTTCCCATTTATATTAATATTTACATTTTTATTTTTGAGATATTGAATTCCTAACTTAATTATTTCTAATGAATAATAACAACATTTTTATTTTATTGTCAGTAATTATTACTTGTTCTATATTTTCTACTTCATCTATTATATTAATATAATTTGAATAACTCCTATTCATATAAATAATAAGATAAAATAGTTATTTAATCTTATTATTTTCATGCACGATAGAATATTCGGAGGGCACAGCACTTGGGGTTTTCTTTACAACGCATCAAACTAATTAGCTTCAATGCTTATTGATTGAAGTTGATGAAAGAGCCTGTTCTACTACGATAGACACCATTCATATCATAGCAATGCTTTCATACAATAAATAATATTAAATTATTTTCTAAATATGTTTAATATCAACTATATGACAGATGTTCCAATAATAAAACCAATAAACATAACTGAATATGAATTCAAACAATCTAAATATGAGCACGTGCCAAACTTACCATTTAGAAGTATTATAGTTGCTTCTTCGACAGGCGGTAAGACTGTCCTTATTCAAAATCTAATATTGAATGTTTATAGAAATTCATTTGCAAGAATATTTATATTTCACCCAGTGTCCATAACGACCCTACATTTACAGAAGTTAAAAAATATATCAGGGATGAATTGCACGTGGATGATGAAAAAGAACAAATTTATTTTGATAATTATAATCCAAGTGATTTAGAAAATGTAATCGAAAGACAGAAGAAAATTATTAATTATATGAAGTCTAAAAAGATAAAGAAACTACATTCAATATTAATCGTTATAGACGACCACGCAGACGACCCTAAATTTGTTAGATATAGTAAATTATTACATGGATTATTTACAAGAGGCAGGCACGATGCAGTAAGTGTGATTTGTTCAACACAAAAATACAATGTTTTAGCGCCTATCATTCGTTTAAATGCCAGTTCATTATATATTTTTAGGTTGAAAAATGCCAGTGAATTAATGAGTTTTATTGAAGAAAATAGCGCCATTGTTGACAAACAGCAATTATTAGATATGTATCATCAAGCCGTTAATTTTGCTCCATATTATTTTTTCTACGTGAATATGAATTCAAAAGACATTAACAAAATGTTTCATATCAATTTTGAACAGGCATTTCAAATTACAAATGATGAATAAAGATATTCTAACTTAATATAATATAATAATATGCCAATGAAACTATGTAGATGTGGTGGATTTTATCGTAGAGGTAATTACAATTTTCATACTAATTCTTGGATACATAAACTTTATAAGGTATTTAAAAGAAGGGCAACGGACGCGGAATTATTAAGATTTCAAAATAATTTTGTTGATGAAGAAGATTTAATAGATGATATGTGTAGCAATGCCTCAACAAAATTACCCGAAAGTGAAATGACAGATTATGATAATAATTAATAGCATTAAGCCATAGGCTTAATGTTAACAATTTAGAATAAAGAATAGCTACATAAATTTAAGGCAGGTAATTTATAATATATTTTATCTTTTTTACATTCATTATTTTTCTAATTTATTTATTATTGCTTTCAATGAATTTATTTGTAGAATATCAATTCTTGACATTTCACTTATCGTATTTACATCTATATCTTTTATTACTTTAATAGCCTCTTCGTCATCAATTTCTACTGGTTTTGATTTACTTGAACCCATTATATATAATATTATTTAGATTTGAATTTTTCAAAATTGAAATGTTGGTTTTCTTCTTCTTCTTCGTCTTCAGTTGGTGCTGGTATTTCTGTTGGACTTTCAGATGAAGAACTATGGACAGTAATAGGTGGAGAACTATGAACACTAATAGCTTCATTTGATGAATTGCTACTGCTACTTTGTGCATGTCCTGCTGCTATCTGATTGACTAAATCTGCAATATTTATAGTTGTTGCAATTGTGCTGTGTGATAAGTTTAATATGATATCTGCTATTGTAGCGCCGTTGTGTAGCATTATTTCTATCATTTTTGTCAGTTTGAACTTCTTTTCTTCTTCATCGCTGTTATCCTCGTCTGGTGGTTTCTTTGGCGGTGGTTCTGGCGGTTTGTTGTTGTCAAGCATTTCAGTAAAGGCTGACACCATTGCGTCGCGTTGGTTTTTCAGTGTTTGTGTTGCTTGTGTTCTTGTTGGCTCATTTCTTTTGTATGTGTTGCGCCAAAAGTTTTTAAGCATTATTTGAAACATATTGTCCTGGTTTTC